CTCTCAGGTCTAATTTGAGGGTATGTACATCCAAATTGGAGGAAAGGATTAGGAATTACAGCTTTTAGGAATAGCCATTCCCCCTTTTTTCAAGGGACAAAAAGTAATTAGAGAATTGAATCAAAAGCTGTTTCATGGCTAGGTGTGGGCTACTTCTTTGCTATTTCTTCATCAATTAAGCAGGTAAAAGGTCTGGAGTTGATTCTAATGTGGTATTTGCATTTGTAATCTATTGCTCTGAACCTACATCATGCATTCAAAGAAGCTGTCCATGCATGGTAAAGAAAAACCCATTCACAACATCTGGACAAGAAGGGCACTCTCCAGGAGGTGGACGTATCATTGTCAAAGTCTACAATCAAGAGAAGACTTCCCAAGAGCAAATATAGAGGGTTCACCACAAGGTGAAAACCATTCATAAGCCTGAAGAATAGAAAATCCAGATTAGACTTTGCCAAAAAACCTCTAAAAAAGCCAGACCAGTTCTGGAAAAGCATTCTTTGCACAGATGAATCTAAGATGAATCTGTACCAGAATGACGGAAAGAAAAAAGTGAGAAGGCTTGGAACAGCTCATGATCCAAAGCACACAACGTCATCTGTAAAACATTGGCATGCATGGCTTCCAGTGGCACTGGGTCATTGTTTATTGATGATGTGACAGAAGCAGTTGGATGAATTCTGTAGTGTTTAGAGAGATACTGTCAGCCCAGATTGCAGCAAAGTTGATTGGACGGCGCTTCACAGTACAAATGGACAATGATACAAAACACACTGCAAAAGCAACCCAGGAGTTTTTGAAGGAAAAGTAAAATATTTTGCAATGGCCGAAGTCAATCACCTGATCTCAACCCAATTGAGCATGCATTCCACTTGCTTAAGGCAAAAAGACCCACAAAGATCAACAGAATACAGCTGCAGTTACAGCCTGGCAAAGCATCAGAAAGGAAGAAACCCAGTCTTTGGTAATGTCCATGGGTTCCAGACTACAGACAGTCATTGCCAGTAAAGGTTTCTCAACAAAATATTACAATTGAACATTTTATATATGATTATATTCATTTGTCTAATTACATTTAAGCCCCTGAAAATGGAGGAACGGTGTATAATAATGGTTGCAGTTCCTAAAATTTGTACTTGATATTTATGTTCAACCACTTGAATTAAAGCTGAAAGTCTGCACTTCAAATTCATTTGGATTGTTTCATTTTAATTTATTCTGGTGGCATACAGAGTCAAAAGTATGAAAATTGTGCCTGTGTCCAGATATATGTGGACCTAACTGTATTCCCCCACACAGGAAAATAAAGAATCATTCCAACTTACAACGGGTTGCAGGGGATTCTCTTTGTTTTTTATGAATTTTAGGGAATTGTTTAGTGGGATTCTCAGGTAATTTTTATATATATATATTTTTTAAATGGAGAGCAGTCTATTTCTTCCTTATAATCTTTTTTGTCTAAGATTAAAATCCTCCCCCCCCATTCACACACACACACCCTTATCCTCAGCTCTCACAAATATATTTCTTTCTTTCTCTAGTTCCTTAATCCCTTGCTCTACATAATCTGGACATTTTTTTCATCCATTTTTCTTATATCATTTTCAACCATAGTTTTAAACAATTGTAAAAATGAATTCCTCTTATTTTTAGGATTAAATACAGAATCATTTTTCAGGATACTCTGTCTCACGGTTTGTCTTTTTTTCCTCATTTATTTAAAACATTTTTTTGATAATCAATTTATGTACAAACTTCTACAAGTCAATTAAACAATTCAATGTATTAATACTTACATTTGGTATGTATTTCAGCCCCAAATCTAAATTTTTAATTCAGCTTCTGATAAAATCGCACTACTAAGGTTAAAAATGCCAGCTCTTAATTTTCTCTCTTCCTTTTTCTAATTCTCCTTCCTCCCCTCTTACCCCCTTTTCTCTCTACATATCTGTTCTCCATCCCATATTCTCTCCCTTGGGGTCTGTTTATTGGTGGGCCTGAATTACACCCCTGCCCTGTAGAGGGGATCCATATGGGATGAAGAACAGCTATATTTCCACCACTAGCTGCCATCATCCAAGATGGATTTACAATACTCCAAGGAGTCAGTTTACAAGGATTAGAAGAAATTGTGAGTAAAGCTCGAATTTCATTGAACAAATGTATTACTAAATAGATTTTTTCTAGAAAGGGGATATAAAAAACATTTCTAAAAATTGAAACGAAGAAGATCTTAGAAAAAGATAGACATTCTTTTAAGAAAAAAAAAGAAAACAAGGACAATAATAGGAAGGATGTGTCCTGGGGGTTTATTATGGATAATATAAAAACAAATTGAGAGAATTATTGGGAAGTACTGGACGATTTTATTAAAAGATGAAGTCATGAATAAGCTCCTCCCCCCAAAAAAAAACTCCATTTACAGGAAGAACAGTTCCCCGAGTAATAAAATTGCACATAATGCCACAGAACCTCCAAGGAAACCTAAGATTTTTTTTTGAGTAGAGGGATTCTATAGATGCATTAGATGTAAAGCCTGTAACATAACGAGCCAGGACAAAAAGAGGAAAATAACAAAGTGAAACTCGACACAAACAGGGAAAGAATAGGATATCACTTGTGATTCTTCCCACGTTGTACATACAGGTGAAACTCGAAAAATTAGAATATTGTGCAAAACTTCATTTATTTCAGTAATGCAACTTAAAAGGTGAAACTAATATATGAGATAGACTCATTACATGCAAAGCAAGATAGTTCAAGCCGTGATTTGTCATAACTGTGATGATTATGGCTTACAGCTCATGAAAACCCCAAATCCACAATCTCAGAAAATTAGAATATTACATGCAATCAATAAAACAAGGATTGTACATTGAACAATAATCGGACCTCTGAAAAGTATAAGCATGCATATGTACTCAGTAATTGGTTTGGGCCCCTTTTGCAGCAATTACTGCCTCAATGCGGCGTGGCATGGAAGCTATCAGCCTGTGGCACTGCTGAGGTGTTATGGGAGACCAGGATGCTTCATTAGTGGCCTTCAGCTCTTCTGCATTGTTCGTTCTCATGTCTCTCATATTTCTCTTGGCAATGCCCCATAGATTCTCTACGGGGTTCAGGTCAGGCGAGTTTGCTGGCCAATCAAGCACAGTAATCCCACAGTCATTGAACCAGGTTTTGGTGCTTTTGGCAGTGTGGGCAGGTGCCAAGTCCTGCTGGAAATTGAAGTCAGCATCCCCATAAAGCTTGTCTGCGGAAGGAAGCATGAAGTGCTCCAAAATCTCCTGGTAGACGGCTGCGTTGACCCTGGACTTAATGAAGCACAGTGGACCAACACCAGAAGATGACATGACTCCCCAAATCAACACACTGTGGAAACTTCACACTGGACTTCAAGCATCTTGCAGTGTATGCCTCTCCATTCTTCCTCCATACTCTGGGTCCTTGGTTTCCAAATGAGATGCAAAAGTTGCTCTTATCAGAAAAGAGGACTTTGGACCACTGAGCAACAGACCAGGTCTGTTTTTCTTTAGCCCAGGTAAGATGCTTCGGACGTTGTTTGTTGTTCAGGAGCGGCTTGACAAGAGGAATACGACATTTGAAGCCCATGTCCAGGATCCGTCTGTGTGTGGTTGCTCTGGAATCACTGACTCCAGCCTCAGTCCATTCCTTGTGAAAGTCCCCAACACTTTTGAATAGCCTTTTCCTGACAATCTTCTCCAGGCTGCGGCCATCCCTGCTGCTTCTTTTTCTTCCACACTTTTCCCTTCCACATAACTGAAATAAATGAACTTTTGCACGATATTCTAATTTTTTGAGTTTCACCTGTATACTGGAGTGTCCATGCTGTATGCAATATGTGGGCAGAACTACAAACGAGTTAAGAAGTAAAATAGAAGAACATATAAACAACATGAAAAGGGTGTGGAAAACCATAGTGTATCAAAACATTTTACATTGCAACATAAAAAGGATCCCAGTTTGTTGACTTTAATGAAATAGAAAAAGTTGCCCCCCCCACTGAAAAGGTATGGGTATGGCTAAAGAAGTTTCAAAGAAAAAGAAAACAAAAGTGGATATTTTATATGGATACTTTGCAGCCAAGAGGTTTAAACATTGATATAGACCTGAATTGTTCAATGGCAAATTTTTAGTGAAATACTTTGTAAAGTGCCCCTTTATATGAAAAGTAGGATATTTGGATGGTCTACAATTAAATTAACGAAGACCATTCAGAGACGTAATTTGTTTTAAGAGAGAATTCTCCAGTTTTATATAGAACTATATATTGGATATAGAGTTCCCCCTCAGTTTGGAAGTGGGACAATTTTATTGGAAAGGGGCTGGTCATTAATTTGACTGAAACCATTTTTAATAAAGAAGTATACCAAAAAAAAAAAAAAAAAAGATACTGATTTAATACTGAAAATCTGTTTTATATAGATCACAAACTTGAGATAGCGTGTAACTTTTATATTTATATGTGGTAACACCAATTTAAATAGGCCACTATTTATTTATAAGAACTTTGAGTTACTAATATAAAGATAATTTGATTTTTAGAACCCTCTTTAATAAAAAAAAAAAAAAAAAGTAGAATGACCCTTTAGGAGGTCCTGATGGCTCACTCTCTGCTGTCAATATTGTGTTTAAGTAGATTTTAATAATTTTGTTGAGCTGGATTTATATATTAAGAATTGGAGTTATAGTGCCCCTTAAAAATTGATTTATATGGTTCACTGTTAAACTGATATGGATCTTTGCAACACGTCAACATAAAATATATTTTATATATAAAAAGTTTTTATTTTATAAAAAGGTAGAGTGCCCCTTTAGGGATTGTATTTTAGCATATCTTGCCTCGATTGGGTGAGAGGTAATTGAGGTAGAGATATACACTACATTGCCAAAAGTATTGGGACACCTCTCCAATTCATTGGATTCAGGTGTTCCAATCAACTCCATGGCCACAGGTGTATAAAATCAAGCACCTAGCCATGCAGACTGCTTCTACAAACATTTGTGAAAGAATGGGTCGCTCTCAGGAGCTCAGTGAATTCCAGCGTGGTACCATGATAGGTTGCCACCTGAGCAATAAGTCCATCTGTGAAATTTCCTTGCTTCTAAATATTTCATGGTCAACTGTTAGTGGTATTATAACAAAGCAGAAGCAACTGGGAACAACAGCAACTCAGCCACAAAGAGGTGGGCCGCGTAAAATGACTGAGCGGGGTCAGCGCATGCTGAAGCGCACAGTGTGCAGAAGTCGCCAGCTGACTAAACTAAAGACCTCCAAACTTCGTATGACCTTCAGATTAGCACAACAGTGCGTAGAGAGCTTCATGGAATGGGTTTCCACGGCCAAGCAGCTGCATCCATGCCTTACATCACCAAGTGCAATGCAAAGAGTCGGATGCAGCGGTGTAAAGCACGTCGCCACTGCACTCTTGGACTCTAGAGCAGTGGAGATGTGTACTCTAGAGTAACCAAATCACACTTCTCTGTCTGGCAATCCGGTGGACGTGTCTGGGTTTGGTGGTTGCCAGGAGAATGGTACTTGCCTGACTGCATTGTGCTAAGTGTAAAGTTTGGTAGAGGGGGGATTATGGTGTGGGGTAGTTTTTCAGGGGTTGGGCTTGGCCCCTTAGTTCCAGTAAAGGGAGCTCTTAAGGCTTCAGCATACCAAGACATTTTGGACAATTTCATGCTCCCAACCTTGTGGGAACAGTTTGGGGATGACCCCTTCCTGTTCCAACATAACTAACTGCACACCAGTGCACAAAGCAAGGTCCCATAAAGACATGGATGAGTTGAGCGAGTTTGGGGTGGAGGAATTTGACCTCCTGACCTTATCCCAACAGAACACCTTTGGGATGAATTAGAGCGGAGACTGAGAGCCAGGCATTCTTGTCCGACATCAGTGCCTGACCTCACAAATGCGGTTCTGGAAGAATGGTCAAACATTCCCATAGACACACTCCTAAACCTTGTGGACAGCCTTCCCAGAAGAACTGAAGCTATTATAGCTGCAAAGGGTGGGCCAACTCAATATTGAACCCTACGGACCAAGACTGAGATGCCATTAAAGCTTATGGGCGTGTAAAGGCAGGAATTCCAATACTTTTGGCAATATAGGGTATATTAGAACAGGTATGTGTCAGGTCCATTTATAAGCAGCATTAGTATCAATTAGAAATTGTTTATTTTAAGCATTGAATTATTTTTTAATATGTATAAATACAGCATGTTTGGTATCCTTTGGAGGATGTCTGCTGACGAAATGCCACCAGCATTTACCTCTAGTGAGTTTTTCTAGCATTTTTTGGTGGTGGATGAAAGAAGGAAAAAAAAAAATAAATAAATAAGAAAAAAGCAATCACTTGATTTTATCACACATGGGACTGTTAATTTGTTTAAATGTTTAATAATTCATTCATGGGCATTGGATTGGTTTTGTGACAAATATTGTTCATAGATTTTGGGTTGGTTTTGTAGATTGATTTGATATTATTTAACTTTAATTTTTTTTGGCACACATTATAATAGAATTTGAGATTTGAGAAAGAGACACTACTGTACAATAAGACAAATAGCAATATATCATAGCCAGTGCAGCACCACCTTCCCGCCTATAATTCCATTCTTTGTTGGTTTATATGCCAAGGCGGCAGCAGCATTAATAACAAGATATTAAAATAATTAATTATCACTTGATATACACCCTTTTTGTTTTTCTATTTTGCAGAACCTAGAACGTGCTGTGGCACAGTTCACATAAAGAAACTTTTTTTATCTACTGGACAAGTTGGCAGGCATCTTCAGTTCTGTTGCCTAAATCGGTTGTGTAGCAAACTTGCTCATCAGAGATGGACGCGGAGTTCTCCTTTTTTATTAGAAGTATTCCTCAATCCTTTATTCCCTACCCTCTCCCTTCCTGAGAGGCACAGGGACAGATGTGTAAGTGTTAAAAGTTGCTGGCAGGCTGGAGCAGCAGGGGGCCCAGCGCTACAAAGCCCTCCCATAGAGACAGCAGACTCTCTGTCCCAAGGCCTGTGTAAACTCGCACCTCCTAACCAAGATAAGGCAGTTTTTTCCTGGACTTGAAAGAAGTTGGAACCTCATAAACCCTACCAGCCAGGTGACAGAAGTTAAATGAACATTCCTCAGGTCAGCTGTCACCTATGTTTCATATCATGGATTATGAAGCTGTCAGTTTTAATGCAGAGTCCATCCGACGATCCCGCCCAAAACAGGGTATTGGCCAGTACTCAGAGCCACCCTCCCTTGCAGGGGGACTTTAAAAGACAGGCTGGCAAGCCTAAAAAGCTAAACACATCTCCAATTTTAACATCGTAACAGCAGGAGATCAAAGACCCTTCGCTCTGCAACTTGGATCTGCTTACCTTAAGGCTGAACATGGCAAGTAACTTAACCTTTTAACTTCTCCCTGTTATCTCTTTGCTGTGCTGTTTTCTATGTATATATAAATATATATCTTAGTTACATCTTTTTCTGTAAATATTTTATTGCACCTGTTTGACTCTTTTAGTAATAAATCTTTTTTTTCTGAAAGTGTTAAACTGTTTCTAAAGCGCTTAATTGCAATTTACGAATTCCTGCCTTTTGAAGAGACGCTACTGTGTTTGTTTAATCCTCTGCCCAATCGCCCTGCGGTGACCGTATTGGACAGGCGACTTTTCAACCATTACAGTGTATATTGGATAAAGAGAGTTTCCTTTTTCTCTCTCCAAAAGAAGGTGGTGGCAGTGTGAAAGGGTTAGTTGCATAATTAACCCGACCCAGTAACAAGCGCATTCAGACTGCAGGAACCGATTCTAGTCCATTAGCTGGAAAATCGCTGTGTAGGGTGCAGCTGGGTGTGGCCTTGTTACGCACATCACATCGCGGTTTTAGATCGGCCGGTCCTTCGGTCACGAGTTTGGTGAGAAGGTCCGGGGTCTGACGCCGCGGGCGTGACGTATTGTTGGTCGCGGTTGTACGATTGTCGCATGTTGAGGGTGGCGATCGTGCGTCCGTGACATATTTTTGGCAGCGTACGTGGGATAACTGCATTAAGAGCTTCAGTGCAGTGTTAAAAAATTGGCTCTGCACTGAAGGATTGTAACCTGTTTGGAAACAACAAGCGGTGCATATTTTATATATATATATTTACAGAGAGAGAGAGAGACATATAGCAACAGCTCCTTCCTTTTCCTACTTTCTCTTCTATCCTTGCTTGCAATTATGCCTGGTGCAGCAGATTTACAAGAAAATGAGCAAAGGTGAATTGAGTGCAGAATGTACCTCACGAGGATTGGACGTCGGTCGCAAAAATCGTGAAGATTTGATTAGTGATCTAATGGAGTTTGATATCCGAGCAGATCAGAACTCGGGGGAACTTGAACATGAAGAAGTTCCCGCTACCCACATTTCCAGTGGCTCAGAGACGGCCTCACAGGATGGGCATACAGAGACTGACACTGGAAGATCACCAAATGTTATCGTCACACCACCGCCTGAGCGCGCAGAGACTCTCCTCAGATGCAGGAAGCCCTGAAACGCCTCATGAAGACAGATCTGGAGGCACACCTGCGGTTCCTTGAACGCCAGGCTGACAGAGAGGAACACCAGGCCGAGAGAGAGGTGGTGCAGAGGGAAGCTGATCGTCGGCACGAGCTGGAGATGGCAAGACTCCAGCAGCAGCAGCAGTGACTGGGTCAGAACCTCGGGTTCCTAGATCACAGGGACGCCACTCTGGCCGTAGGTGCAGCCAAGTTTCCAGTGATGGAAAAAGACAGTGACATTGACACATACTTGCTATCCTTTGAAAAAACGTGCCATCAGTACCATGTGCCCCAAACACAATGGGCTCGGTACCTGACACCAGGGCTACGAGGCAAGGCCCTGGACACGTTTGTTGAATTGCCAGAGGGGCAAGACGATGATTACGAAGTTTTAAAAGATGCCATCATCCGGAAGTACCAGATGACCACGGAAGTATATCGCAAGCGGTTCCGGTCCATGCAGAAGGGACCTGGGGACTCTTACACGGATTTGGCAAGTCGCTTACGCACCACATTCCGACAGTGGACTAAGGGACTGAAAGCTGACTCCTATGAGTCTTTGGAAGACCTCATGATACGAGATCAACTCTTGCACATTTGCCCAGCAGACGTCAGACAGTTTGTCTTGGAGAGGGAGCCAGCGTCTACTAAAGCTGCAGCAGACCTGGCAGATACCTTTGTCCATACCCGGGTGCCTGACCCTCGCAAGGCTCCTCCAAACAGCTGGAAAGGGGGGAAATCATCCCTAGCAACCTCTCCTACTTCGGTGAGTCAAGCTTCCCATCCACCCACACCTGCAGCGCTTGGAGCCAAGCCATTCCTGCCTGACACCCGCAGATGTTTCACCTGTGGGAAAGCCGGACATCTCAGGACTTTCCTGGGACACCGGGGCAAAAGTCACCTTGATTCGGCCAGAGCTGATTGAGCCAAGGAACCTCATCCCAGGAAAGTTCCTTACCCTCACAGGAGTTGGGGGGACCCGTTCACGCATACCCTGTGCAAAGGTATTCCTAGATTGGGGTGCAGGAAGGGGGATACGGGAGGTGGGGGTCTCCGAGGAAATTCCCACTCCTGTTTTGCTGGGTGCAGACCTGGGCACTCTTGTCTCTTATTATGCCCCTGCCGAGAATACCCGGAAGGGCCCGCTGGAACTCTCTGGACAAGCCAAGGTACTATGGACAGATATTGGGGTAATGTCTGGGCTACCGGTGGATGGACAGAGGGAGGGGGCTGGGAATGGAGTGGGGCTACAGGATTCTCCATTAGCTGGAGAACAAGAAGAAATTCCCTTGCCTGGGGAGGTATCGAACTCAATTGTCATTAATACTATAAACATGACTGTGGATAATGGTTGTGATGACAATGCGGGTGATATTACTAATGTCAGTAACATTGATAGTAATGTCATTGATAATGTTTGTATTGTTGACGGCAATGTTGGCAACACTAACAATGATTGTGATATTCATGATGAGACAAATGATGTATTTTCACTGTTGGGGGTCACCCACAGTGCTGTGATGTGGGCCGAGGTACAGTCTCTGGGGCTGGGCGAGGGGATGGTCTCGATAGGCCTGTTCCCTGCCTGGGCCCAAAAGATTGTTCCCTGATAAGTGCCCAGCTGTTGGCCTTGCATAGTACTAGGCAGCCGGCTGGGACTTGTAGTTCCACGCCTCCGGCAGCACTGAAAAGGGATTCCCAATGGAGCTTCAGAGTTCAGCTAGCTGCGAGTTGCCCTGCTAAGAAAGGCACACCATAGCTGGCTGGGACTTGTAGTTCCACGCTTCAGGCAGCCCTGAAAAGCGAGTCCCAAAGGACCTTCAGAGGTAAGCTAGCTGTGACTTGTAGTCCCACGAGTAAGGCAGCTCTGGAAAGCCATTCATATG